CATTCTAAACGTTACAATGTTATAACAGACGTCATCATATCTCTGATCAAAAAACAATTTTTCTATCCATTCTTTTATGCTTGTAAAATATCTCATCCATGCGTTGCTTTAAAAATTCTGCATGACTCCCTAAATTGAGAATGCTCAAGCCTAATCAAGACTGACCTTTTTCATTTTTCTTTAATTAGGTAATTCAACAATTATAAAATCGCCATACTCATTCATGCTGACCGAAAACGATCGCACCTATTGCAGGCTATATGATGCATGTCCACCAACAAAATATCGCTATAAAGCCATACTTATTAACGTCACTGTCTCAGGAACATACTTTTTAGGATGCTCCTCTGGTGACAATTATTTCGTAGGATCTATTTATAATAGCAGTTTCAATGCTTCTGATGCATCTGCAAATCTTATACCAAGTAATTTAGAGTGGCTCGACAGTTTATCCATTTTTGGCGTCTATATGAATGCTTTCTTCAAGTACATTGTGGTCGTGACGGATCTTTGGTCAAATTTTTTAGGAAATGTTTCAATGATTGCAGCTGGACCTGGCCCTCTTAGTTTTATTGGCCTAGAGGGATATTAAGTTGTTGATTTATAAATCATCAACATATATTTATCACTGTTTTCTTCATTTAAATCCAAATTCTAGTTCTGCGGTATTGATATAAAACGCTTTTTCTTCGCTTATACCTACGTTAATTTTATTCATTTATTATCATCTTCAACTAGGTATTATCTTATATTATTTATTTTTAAATGCCATATTTTACACATGTTCTTTTGATAGAACACGATTTCATTGTTGCAAACCTATATTACCTAAAGTCTATACAATGCTTACGTTTATTTTACTAATAAATGACTGTGTTTGTTTTTAACGAGCACACCATAAGACAGAAGCAAATTTTCATATACTAATAAGAGTTATACACTTTTCTATAGACTCACACTCGCAAGAATGAAATATTGAATGTTCCGAAGGTGCCAAGTAAATTTGTTTTTGCACTTCCATCAGCATAAGTTAATAAAATTATGAAAGAGATAAACAAATTCGTGCTATTGGTCACTTGTGATAACAAATGCATATGAAAAAGCGGTGGTTAAGACGATTTTCTGTCTTTTTACTTATATGTCTAAAAGCAAGGCGTATGTCGTGTCTCAAACACGTCTCAATAAGAAATAAGATGGTTGAACTGTCTCGTAGAACACACGGCATTTTTTATAGTAATCTGATTAATTTCATTAGACATGTAACTTTCTGCAATTACTCAGTCTTTACGAAAATCTCGAAAAAATTCTTCAGTAAGAGCTACCTTCTAATTTGTTTTATTTTAACTAGTATCAACATGTTTCCCGAGCACTCTATCACGATTCGACGAAGTCGAACTTCATCATAGACCTCCGATAGAAAAAATATTAGTTTGATTGCGATATTTTTCATCTCGTATTTCAACGAGTATTTTCTTAATTTCTACTCTCGAAATCATTATGATGCCAAACAATAACTTTTGGTACACATATCGAGTAGTTTTCTTTTTTTAAGAAAACGTTGAAACCGTTAAGTTTGATAAAATATAAAGCAGAAATGAACGAAAAAGCATGAATGAGACATTGATAAAATCATTACTGAGAAAAATCTGCAAAGATCTGTTAGCATAATATTTCGAAAAAAAAATTCATAGATAGATGAATTATCAATATGCAACCGGCTGTGTTTTCTTGAATTGTCTTCGATAATGTCTTTCAAGATTGTCTTTTCGAACGACATTTTTATTTTATTCCATTGATCCGATCATCAACTTAAAAATGACAAATATATATATATATATATGTTGAGAAGGTAAACAAGTAAAATAAAAAAACTTAAACTCGTAAAGGACTACGTAAATACTATGATTCGTACCTCATTATAAAAGAAAAACTAGAATGCATAAATCGATCATGACTTTTTCTACCCGTGCGTTGAATATCGTAATTGATTTTTTACATAATACATTTTCTTACTCATTCTTTCTATTTTAAGTTACTAAATCCTATGTATCAATAACTTTACATTGATTGCATTATGATTCACATCAGTTATACCTGTAAGTCATGAACTACTATAAATACATTTATTACATACAACGTATTACATCATGTGTAAAAGGTATAAAGTATTTAAAGGGAAGACTTTATTGCTTGTATCTATAAGTCGAACGACAGAATATAATTAATTAAATCATTTTCCTATATTTATTTGAATCAAACATTCGTAAGTATAAACAAATTTAAATGCATAAAATTTACTACTCTATAATATATCAATTAATTTTCTATGTAAAACAATCTTTTATTTCTACAATAGTATTATTCAAAAATACAATGGGAGCATAAGCATTATGAAAATATACTTCTTTAGATGAATCTGAAGCTTACTAATATGAAGTTATAAAAATTTTGAGAAATTTCAACATTAATGAATCTTGCAAGTAAAGGTTATTTTGACTTTGTAAAATAATATATACCGAAGAATAAATTAAGATCTTCCTTGATTGCTTGTCTGAATTAAAATATAGATTCTAAATCTATCAATTAATTTTCTGTGTCAAATAAGTAGATCTAGATTGAATTTTTGATGTTTTTAGGATATATTCTATAATGTTTCTTTTGTGAAAATCACGTACATTTTCGAAGAAAATGGTGAGTGCAAGCGTTTAGTTCGATATTTTGAGACTCCCTAATCTTTCACATCAAAGATATTTACCATTATAGACCATAACAATCACGCATAAAAACATTGTTTATTCAAGTTCTTAGCAGTGTAATCGTTAACATACACCAGGATTTCAACTCCTATACTAAAATGGCGCTTGTGAAATAATAATATATATTTATCTTTCATAACAATCATATGATTAATATGAGAAGCATGACTCGCTCTTTTTATTAATGTGCAAAAATAAACAAGTTCAACACAGGAGGTCAATTGAGATGTACAGTAGGGTGGCAATAGTCTACTAATGCAGATAAACTATATTATTATTTTTATTCATAAAATAGTTGATGAGAGAAGAATGAATTTCAAATTTAAAAAGCGAAAAAAAAACTTTTCACAGGTACTTAGCGACAAATGTAAATGAAATCTGGCGCACTAAAATGTAAGTAAAGTTAGCAGCAGATTCGAGTATTTCCCCCTAATATTCGCAACAACAGCTGTGCCAGGTAGCCCATCGAATATACTATAGAATGCCATAGGTTCAACACCTTTTCACTACATCGTTTACCGGCAAAATAAAAAAAACTAATAAAAAAACGCTTTTTTTACTGCGAATATCAGTATTTCCACCAAATATTCGCTCCTCATCTTGTGCCATTCTCGAAATCACTTGTGCCCGATAGCATTCGATGAGATCTATCGATTGGTACCCATTACGCGACAATCCAAGCCAACATACAGGGACCAAGTGGTCAGCACCCCGGAAACCAACTTACGCCACCCTTAATCCGGGCAAATATTCAATTACATGGTTGTGCCACTCGTAAAATCAACTGTGCCAAATAGAACTCGATGAGATCTATCGATTGATGCCAAATAAGCGATGATCCAAATCAAGATGCAGGGTCCAAGTGGTCAGTACCTAGGAGGACCAGGTCTCGGGACCAGTAATTCGAGCAAATATTCGCTTAGATGATTGTGCCACTCGTGAAATCAACTGTGCCAAATAGAATTCGATGAGATCTATCGATTGATGCCAAATAAGCGATGATCCAAGTCAACATAGAGGGTCTAAGTAGTCAGTACCTATGAGAACCAGGTCTCAGGACCCTTAATTCGAGCAAATATTGGCTTAGATGGTTGTGCCACTGGTGAAATCACTTGTGGGTGTGGATCAAGAGAAGAAGTACATTCCACCCACACCCACCCCACACCCACACACACCCACACCCACACCCCACACTCTCAAGAAGCGAAGTATATAGTTCAATATTTTGAAAAGATTGGTTTCCTTTAATATATTGAATTGCCATTCAAAGATCTTTGCTTAATGGTCTCCCATTTCCTTTTTATTTGTTGTGTATCTTGAACTTTCTCAGTAACTCGAGGTTAATATCATAGATTTCACTTGATTAGCAATATATGTTCCAATGGTGATAACAGCTACAACATTAATCTGAGTACTTTGAAGTTGAATAAAAATGTATCATGTTCGGATCAGGCTTTATATAAGTATGACACTTTATCCTGGAGATGTGTGATGAATGAATTGGAATTTCTTTAATTTCTATTTTAATTTGTACGTCATGAGAAGGTATTTCATAATGAGGCCAGGAACAATTTGCATAGCAATAATTGCTACTGTTCTCAGTTCAACATCTTCTAAAACAAAAGTAATCAGACATGATACACATTGTTTTAAATTAATTGATTTCAATTGTTCGTTTGGTGATGGTAACAACGTAATTATTTCATTGTTTATTTTTTTAAAATCTACAGTAGTACTCATTGATTGGATCAAAAAATTAAACGACTATAGTTTTTCAGACAATGGTAAAATATAACTATTCAGATGTTAAGAATACATGCGGTTTGTTCGTTGATTCGTATATGTTTATGTTATTTTTTAGAACTTCGATACAATGAACGTATGTCGAATTGCCCTGAGTCTAAAAAGTGAATAACTTTTTGCAACTATCTAAGTAATATACATATTTAAATTAAATCAGACAAAAATTACCAAATCGTCTGTAGCATATGACTTTCGTTCAAAAACGCAGGTGTACTACGGTCACATTCACAGAAGGACTTATAATCGAGGTACAGCTGTGCGCTTTTGTGCTCGCCTGCAAAAATTATTACATTAAGAACAGAGTAATAATAATACTAACGTGTTGGAGATAATATTACTTATCTTTTTTTCACTTTTGTGAGTGATATGAATATCTAAGGTAAATACAAACAGCAGTTTGTCACTTATTTTCTTGAGTTTACGCTTTCTGAGGAGCACAATATGGGTTACAGTCAGTGGTGGCATCACCGATGGATTAAGATCATTGGTGTATCTTTCATTGCTATAATAATTCTTGTAGTAACTCTTACTCTGGTGTTAAAATTTTGTATTTTTACTCCGGAGAAATCAGAAACCACCATTACCAGTACAGTAACATCAAGATCAACAGCATCAACGTCAACTACACAACAATCAGGTAAATATTGGAGTAACGTTTCTTAAGTCTTCTAGATACTGCTGTTTAATGAGATTTATTTCATTGTATCAATCATTTAATCACAAGTAGTTTACTCTTTATATCACAAGAAAACAGGAATAAATGGTAGTATTCATCATAGTGATTTTGCGTTAATGTCACCATTTACTTCGTTTTTCCAATTCAAAGGAGATAGAGATCTAGACGAATTAATTCAATTCTCTTTTTGTGAAACTTCCCATGGACTCAATTTTCTTTGTCCTTTTATTTTTCGAAGAAACTAGACAGAATACTTTTTTGTGTTAGGTAAAACTTTGGAAACTGTGCTAAACGCCGGTCAGCTTGTAGTCAGACTCAGATGTAGCCGCTGTTTCCTACTGATTTAAGAATTTTGCTGCCTCAAGAATTCTAAAATTATTGTGTCGGGACTATTACACGATATTCATTTTTCAAAATCTAAAAGGATTCTCTCATGAATAGATAATCGTCAAGACTTCACTCTAAATACAGTATCTAAATAAAAACATTCAAAAGTTTTCATCTAGATTGGACTAAAACTGGAAATCTAAATTATGCACGACGAACACATACAGCATCTGTATTAGCAAATGGAAAAGTGCTAGTTACTGGTGGATTTAATAATCAGGGTTTTCTAGACAGTGCTGAACTATATGATCCATCAACAGAAACTTGGACAATCACTGGTAGAATGAATAGCGCACGTGCCGAACATAAAGCATCTATGTTAGCCGATGGAAAAATATTAGTTACTAGTGGAGTTAATGATCACGGTGTTCTGAATAGTACTGAATTATATGACCCATCAACAGAAATTTGGACAGTGACCAACTGCATGAATTATGCACGTGTAGAACATTCAGCATCCGTATTAACAAATGGACAAGTACTAGTTACTGGTGGACGTATTAATCAAGATTTTCTAAATACTACTGAATGGTATGATCCAACAATGGATACTTGGGCAACTATCAGTAGTATGAATGATGCACGAGCGGAACACATAATATCCGTATTAAAAAATGGAAAAGTGTTAGTTGCTGGTGGATATACTAATTTTAATCGTTTAAATACCGCTGAATTGTACGATCCATCAACAGAGACCTGGGTCAGTACCGGTAGCATGAATTATACGAGATTCAAATTCACAGCATCTGTATTAACGAATGGGAAAGTATTAGTTGCTGGTGGATTCAATTACAATTTTAATCGTTATACTGCTGAGTTATATGATCCATCAACAGGAATGTGGACAATCACTGGTAGCATGAATCACCCGAGATGGAAACACACATCATCCGTATTAAAAAATGGGAAAGTGTTAGTTACTGGTGGATTTGATCATTATCCTCTAGGCACTGCTGAATTGTATGATCCGTCAACAGAAACCTGGATAAATATTGGTCAGATGAATAGTGCACGAGGTGATCATACAGCATCTGTATTAAAAAATGGAAAAGTATTGGTCACTGGAGGAACTTACGATGGTGAACCTTTGAACAGTACAGAGCTATATGGTTCGTTTTAGACAAATTATACATATTACGTTGTTTGAACTTTTAATTTGATTAGTTTCTTCACCAAATATTATACTTAGAGCACAATTGCATTTTTTAAAAGACAGTGAATCCCTTCTACGCAATTATTTGTTAATCTGTATATATCAACGAAAACTAATGATGACAGATTTTGTCTTTGCATTTCTAACAATCATTTGAACCTTTACAAAAATCTGAAGCAATTAAGAAAAAACAGGTTTCACTGGAAATTCTCTTCGATTACGTCTTTTTGTATAGGGTGTGGGTGTGGGTGTGGGGTGCGTGAGTGTGGTGTGGGTGTGTGGGTGTGGATGTGGTGTGGGTGTGGGTGTGGGTGTGGGTGTGGGTGTGGGTGTGGGTGTGGGTGCGGGTGTGGGTGTGGGCGTGGAAAAATAATTCTCACACCCACACCCACATCCACATCCACATCCACACCCACACCCACACCCACACACCCACTCCTACACCCACACCCACACCCACAGCCACACCCACACCCACAGCCACAGCCACACCCACACCCACACCCACCCC